GTGGGTCAGGCTTTGGTTATCTAATATGATCCGGTTGTGGATTCCTCGAGAAAATTCACCCGCCCTGGCCTGGGCAACCTGGCAGTATTCAGCCCACTTGCAGATCGTGGAGCTTTTTTCTTTCTATAAGGATGATTGTACCACGATTTGTTTGGCACACAGTCGGGCATCAGACCTGTGTTAAATATATATATGTACCGGTAAAAAAATGTATCGAATGTGCACCAATTTGGAAGAAAATCACACTGCGATTGTATGAATATATTGCGATAAATCCAGCCTTATTCCATAGGGACTTTGTGAACCAGAATGATAAGCTACATGTTGTTTCAAAGCTCCACTGAAATATGTCCGTATTTCAACCCTCTTGAAAATTCACAATCCCTGGGCTTGTGTATTGTATTCCGGGTGCGTCCCACTGCTTGGAAGTTAATTCATTTCCCATGGTCTACAAATGGTGTGAAGACTAACAATACACCCTTGTTGTCTTTGCTTGGACATATAAAAAGCCATAGGTTTCACCCGAATACACATAAGTCGTACGCACATTAGACGCGTCCCAACAAGGATCGCACATCTGTCCAGTGGTTTTGTTGGTATCCACAAACTAGCTGTTTATAAGAATATTTGTAATTCAAATAGTCACGTGCTCAAAATACTAGCCACCGACCTTCTGAGCTTTGGGTTTCACCGCTTAACCAGAAGGGTTGTGGCAGGGACACAGCCTTAGTACGTACCGTTGGGGAGTCCCAACAAGAGTGGAACGGTTCGGTCAATACACAAATCCAACCAGAAACCAAGGCGCTGTGTACCGGAGTGACTAGTAACGTAAGTTTCGAAAGGTACACACCTAGAGGTCACTTATGCGTGAGCGAGATCATTTAGCGTAAGAAGCGTTATCCAAATAGGTTTGACTGTATAAAATTTGCAAACAATCAGGTCAGTAACGCAATTAAGCAAGTAATTAATTACCGTTCGCTTAGGGAAGCCCTTTTTAATTTTGAAGATTACGGCGAAAAATAAGATGCGAATAGAGCCCCTTTTTACCTCATACTCATTTTTGTCTGGTGAGTATACACCGTACAGCTGAGGAAAAATAGCCCAACACTATTTCCAACAACTTCCCTCAACGCTATTCCCCCACAGTCTATGGGTATCACCATAAGGGAGAAGTTTGCAGTGGTTTAGTTATGTCCTTAAAAGACAGTCGACCCAGTTAACTAAATTATATCACTGCCGCACCTTTGTTACGGCTATCACGGCTACGAACAGAGCGTTTAGATTTTACAGCTGAAGTATTCTTTATATGTTCAGACTATAAGGAACATCTGGTAATGAAGACCGGAAATTCCGATGGACTGCATGTTGCACCGATTCGGCTTTGAATCGCCACAATTGGGTTACCGACATTATAAATATCCATGAAGTTAACTCATATTCACGTATGCGCTAGTCTCTTAAAAGTAAAGTCACAAGCAATGCAGCCAACCCGAAAGACGCTATTCAGATTTAGGGTGGTGGTGGCGCAGTGGTTTAGTCGCTGCCACAGGATCCTATGGTCCGAGCCCCGCCACCGCCACCTAACTTTGGTGGTGGGCAGCCTTGCTGTCATCTGGTTCAATACCACGCCTAACCTATCGGGGCCTTATGTGCTTCATTACTCCAAGTCCCGGGGCTTAGTTTACCGGTTTCCATCACTGAAAAGCACTTCCTCGTGACTATGGGGTTTTCCCCGTCTGCTGTTCATCACACGGAAAGTGTGTAATAAAAAAATTAAAAAAATGATCATTTTATACAGATACATGCAAGGATTGCTTCGTGGTCTCAGTGCTAGTCAACGAGTTCCTTTACGCGTGTATAGCTGCCACGGTCCGTGTTGCCATAGCTGGGAAGGCTCTGCGATTGTCTTTTTCTAACAGGTACATACAACGTTCCATCTATTAACGTAATTCAAATCTCCATGTGGATTTATTTCACTCAGGACGAATAACAGATGAGGTACGGTGGCAGCCAATATTCCACCCAGTAGCTCATTTATGTAAAAACTACACTCAAGTTGAAGATACAAAACCACAAGCCGAGAATCATATCTCACTGACGAATTCTGAGTATCACTACCGCTAAACAGAAGTCTACACATTACGAAACAGTGCACGCGATTTTATAACTGTTACTGATCGGGCAGTAATTGGTGTAAACCCTTAGTTCCCCAAAACTGTATGGGCACAGTAAAATCAACCGGCTGACATTTACTTTTAAAGAACTTGATGAGGCATAGTGGCTCGATCTGAACACTCAGTTCGGGTTGAGAAAAACTGCGCTAGTTGGTTTATTGTCTGCGAATCGACCCTAAAGCTTGGCCGGTAACCTCCATCCAACAGCAGTCGAGATGCCCAACCGGGGACATTTGTTCTTGAGTGTTCGGGTATCGTGCAGGGTGATATTTGAAAAAGTATAAGTTCAACAAAGTTTAAACTGCCTTCTTATCCCTTCTGCTAGAGAATCGTCATTATTTTCGGATGGAAACACGAAATCTTCTGGTGGCGCATTAAGTGCAAATTTGGCCCGCGCAGAAAAGAGCAGCTTTCTTGTGTTGGTTAGGGTGGTGGTGGCACAGTGGTTTGGTCGCTGTCAATGGCGTTTTGAACCCTATGGTTCGAGGGTTTCAGCCGCGCCACCGCCACCCAACTTCGGTGGTAGGTCTTACGGTTTAATAACAAGTCTGAACTAACGAGGCCGTATGCAGTTCACCACTCCAAGTCCAAGGGTTGCCGGTTTCTATCACTGACCAGCAGGTCCCCCTGACTACGTGGTTTACACCGTCTGCTGTTCATCACACTAAAGTGTGTAATAAAAAGCAATAAATAAATGAAGGGAATGCCACGGGGTTTTCTATTTGAAGCCTAATATACCACCGAGATGTAAAAGAATTCTAAAAACTAACTTCCTTCGGCAATTGCCAGTTTACAACTAAATTAACGACGTTAATGTCATCAATCTTCAAGGAAAAATATTCCGATGAAATAAATCTGATCATGTATTTAAAATTCATCCCCCAAGGAGTGTTTCCCTTTATGATTTCACCTCCGACATTGCAAACAGTAAAAGATCCCTTGTGATAAGCATAAGGTGTGCATTAACGGATACGCAGTAAACAATTGTGACACAACTCACTTGTAGCAGATACAGGATACTTCCACCAAGGTGAATTAACGTCACAAACATGAGAATAATAAGTATACGGCCACCCAACAGCAAATACTGTCTGGGTGCATTATCACCGGAGGAAGGAAGACCAGCCAGGATACTCCTGGCTTCCTGTTGGGCCTCTGCCAGTAATAAGAGTAAACTCCCGATGAGCGACAGATTACGTATGAGGAACACGTAAGTCCATACATGGTATCCGATTGTCTATTCAGGAACAAAACCAAAAGCAAACGGAATGTTACTGAGGACATTAAACAGTCAAATCACTGTTTAATGACATTGATGAAAGGAATTTTGATGGTCATTCGTAGACGTGTTACGGCATTCGAAGAAACAGCTTTTACTCTTAAAAGTTTGATGGTCTCCCGACGCTGACTTAGTAGTCACGTTATTCACACGATGCTCCCACCATAAGCGA